CCAGCCGGCAAGTGTTCAGGACGTTTCTAACTCTGGCTCTGCGAGAAGGGCACAGCCGTGCATCTTGTACTGATGGGTGCATGTCCTGAGAAGTGTGGCGTTAGGTTATTTGGTCATGTTCTACCCTGATAGAATGCGTTCACACAAACCTAGATGGTGTGGGTCAGTGATCTGACGTGACATGAGGTTTCTGGGGACACTGCTCTTGTTCTACAGCAAGCAATCGTCCAGGCAGCTTGTTCTGTAAGTATAGGGAGCACATTGTAAAATAGCACTAGAGCTGTAGAACAGCAAACATGAAGACAGTGGCAGTTTGTTCCTGTGGTCAGTATTACGCCCGTGCATGGTTGTATGCTGTGCATTTCTGTACTGACAGTGTAGTGGGTGTGGAGCGCCAGCATCGCCTCACGCGTGTGAGTCCTGCTTTGTGCTGTGACGTGACGACGGCTCTGAAATCCTCTCGTGGATAAGAACGTTTCAGCTCCACTGTAACCTTACGGGATCCCTGTCGCGTGCATGGCCTGTGGTTGGCCATGTGCGTTGTGTGGTACATGACTGTGTAGGAAAATGTCTGTTCTCTCAGGGAGCTTGGAAAGGCACCACGTGATCACCACAGTACCGAGTATTAAGCACTGACAAAGCAAGGACTTGACCTAGGCCTTGATGGCCCGCAAGGCAGAGGACACTCCGTCACTTGGGAGTTGGGTGGGAGGTTTTGAGGTGAAGTGAAAAGAAGTGTTGAGACCAGAGAGCCAACACTCAGTACCATAAGGCTAACTGAGGGCCACTCATTAGGTTGGCTGCTCCAGGGCTCGACCAGTACCCACTCTGGGTCGTGTATCATTCAACTACCACCACAGCAATATTGTACAGCGCACCGTCCCCAAGGTCAATGGCTTACCTCCTGAAGACATCTGCCACTCAGGGCTGTGGGCTGACGGGTTTGGTGTGTCTCGGCTGAGTCTGGCTGCAGGTTCTAGGCGGGTGCATGTCTATCTGCATTCTCTGTGGGTCGGGAATGTTAGGTGGAAGTAAGTTGAAAACTCTAGACATGGGGCATAACATAATAAGTCAAATAACTTGAATATACTCTCTATAGCAGTTTAAAACACAAATTTTCTTTGAAAATTGAAGATATAATTCCTTTACACTTTTTAAAAATATTTATTTATTTGAGAGTCAGAGTTATACAGAGAGAAGGAGAGGCAGAGAGAGAGAGAGAGAGAGGTCTTCCATCTGCTGGTTCACCCCCAAGATGGCCACAATGGAAGCCAGGAGCCAGGAGCTTCTTCCTGGTCTCCCACCAGATGCAGGGGCCCAAGTCCTTGGGCCATCTTCCACTGCTTTCCCAGGCCATAGCAGAGAACTGGATCAGAAGAGGAGCAGCTAGGACTCAATTGGTGCCCATATGGGATTCTGGCATTGTAGGCAGTGGTTTTACTCACTACACCACAGTGCTGGCCCCTCCATTACATTTGTGGACTTTCTGTGCATTCCAAAAATTCTTTTAGCACAGTTGATTGGCAGGGACCTTCACAAGAAAGCATTAAGAATGCTAGAAACTGCACTCAGCTCTTGTAGTATAATTTTCTCCATTTTAAACCTACAACTGTAAATATAAATGTTCAGCATTATCATAATTAGGGCTCTTGAGTTGTAATCTTTAGAAGTTTACAGTTAATATCCTGGGGGCATGATAGTTAAGTAATCCTGGTGGGCTTGTTTCTTATAAGCTATGTTCGAAAGAATCTGATCACTTCTCAACATTTTGGCTGTGATCACGTGCAAAAGAATCTAAATGCAGGTTCCATTGAGGTTGATTTTTTTCTTTTTGTACGCTGAATGTTTTACCCTAATTAAATTTTATTTTTTATTGCAGGTATGGCATCTCATACCTGAGCATGAATTTCTTACAGGACTATGTAGGAACTATTGTAACATTGCTAGCCTCTCTTTCTCAACAGGAGGAGACACGAGCTTGTTAGCAGTTGGGCATGGTAAGGGTGTGGTCTAGCAGGGCAGAGGGCGTGGTCTGCCTGTGTGATGGGCATCGACTAGCTGAGCGATTGCCTAGCTGGTGATGGGTGTGCCGTAGGAGGCCAATGGGCATTTCAAATTTTTCCTCCTGTGTAGCAGGTATCATTTGAGATTAGACTCCACTGCACTTAAACAAGAATCCCCAGTACGGCTGTTGATACAGGAGAGACATTTGTCTCTGTGACTGCAGAGTTGGCCGGGTGCTCCTCCCCCTTGCTGTGTGCATCCCCGCGGGGCTCTTGGCACCACCACCGGAGGAAGATAAGCTTCCTTGCTTTCCGAAGAGGCTTGCGGGGACTGTGGGATACTTGGAATGTAGTCGCCTGGTCACGGCTTAGCCAGGGTGGGTCCCTCAGCTGGGTGGGCTGAGGCCCTTCTGCCTTTATGAGGAGGCCACAGCTGGGACGGGGCTGCCTCTGTCAGGCACAGTGCTGTGTGTCCTTAGAGGACATTCGAATGTTTAGCTGCGGGCACACGGTGCTATGCATGAAGTCCCAGCATCGTGTGTGACTTTCAGAGTAGCCGAATAATCAAATGTAATATTTTGCCTTCCCATAGCGTTTGTTTATCTGTTGCCTGGAAGCTATGGGTACATTTCCACATATGTGCTGTTGGCACATCTTCGAATTGGATACGGCTTCCAAGCCGATCAAATGATAGTTTGAAAAAGGGCTGGGGATTTAGTTGAGTTACTCTTTTGTTTGTGGTTCTTTGTGGAAAAATTAAACTTGAAATTAAAGGAAAATTTCCTTACAGTTTTGGAGTAGGAATTTGTTAGTTCAATAATTCAATTTATCCTTGTGGACCTGTTTGATTATTGCTGGTAATGCTATCCAAGCAAGTTTGCAGCATGTTTCAGCATTATTTCTTATTTTTTTTTTATTTTTATTTATTTATTTATTTATTTATTTTTGACAGGCAGAGTGGACAGTGAGAGAGAAAGACAGAGAGAAAGGTCTTCCTTTGCCATTGGTTCACCCTCCAATGGCCGCTGCTGGCCGGCGCGCTGCAGCCGGTGCACCGCGCTGATCCGATGGCAGGAGCCAGGTACTTATCCTGGTCTCCCATGGGGTACAGGGCCCAAGGACTTGGGCCATCCTCCACTGCACTCCCTGGCCACAGCAGAGAGCTGGCCTGGAAGAGGGGCAACCGGGATAGATTCCAGTACCCCGACCGGGACTAGAACCCGGTGTGCTGGCACCGCAAGGTGGAGGATTAGCCTAGTGAGCCGCAGCGCCAGCCAGAATTATTTCTAAGTTCACATTTGAAGTAGTATTTGGCATCTATTTTTTTTAAAGACTTATTTATTTATGTGAAAGAGTTACACAGAGAGAGAAGGAGAGGCAGAGAGGGAGAGAGAGGTCTTCCATCTGCTGTTTCACTCCCAGATGGCCACAACAGCTGGAGCTGTGCCGATCTGAAGCCAGGAGCCAGGAAATTCTTCCAGGTCTCCCATGTGGGTGCAGGGGCCCAAGGGCTTGGGCCATCTTCTGCCACTTTTCCAGGCCATACCAGAGAGCTGGATCGGAAGTGGAGCAGCCAGGACTCAAAGCAGTGCCCATATGGGATGCTGGTGCTGCAGGCCGTGGCTTTACCCACTATGCCATAGCGCCATCCCCAGTATTTAGCATCTACTATAATAAAACCCATGGAGTCAGGCCGGCGCCGTGGCATAGTAGCTATTCTCACTGGGACGCGCACACCGGATCTAGTCCAGTCGGACACGAATCGTCTGTGGCCTCTCAGGCCAGCTTTTGCTGTGCTTGGAGTGCAGTGGAGGATGACCCAAAGTCCTTGAGCCTGCCCCACCCATGGGAGACCAGGAGAAGCACCTGGCTCCTGCCTTCGGATAGGCGTAGTGTGCCAGCCGCAGTGCGCCGGCCACGGCGGCCATTGGAGGGTGAACCAACGGCAAAGGAAGACCTTTCTCTCTGTCTCTCTCTCTCACTGTCCACTCTGTCTGTCAAAAAAAAAAAAAAAAAAAAAAAAAAAAACATGGAGTAGAAAAATCGATGATTCTTACACACTGGGAACGTGGTTGGTTCCCAGAGGAGGTGTCAGGAAGCCAGCTGTCTGCAGATCGTGTGATCTCTGGTGAGAAGTGAGGATGGGTTCTTGAGGTGAAGATGTGTTTCCTGTTTGTCCGCCTCTGTACGCGCTGATGCCAGGTTCTCACCATTCCCAGGTTCTCCTTTAACAGGGAGAGTTGAACATGGAGTTGTCTACAGAGTACCACCCAAGTATTCGATTAGGCCCAATGTGTCCTAATTACCCACAGTGTAAGAATCCAAACCCTGTATAACCCTATCATTTCCAAGTAGCAGCTGAATAACACTTGGAAGAGAGTCATAAATCTCACAGACTAATTAATGAAACTGTTTAAAAATACTGGCAGATGAAAGGAACAAACATGTCAGTCCCAAAATTGTGTTTTTCAGTTGCTGATAGATAATACTAGGTCAGTCGCCAAGTTGTAATTTCTTGATGAAATGAAATTCTGAATATTGCTGTTTTAGTCACACTTATTAAAGGTAACTGGTAAAGTATTTGACACTTTCTATACCTTATCATAAATATTTCCCTTTATTATTAAAATGCAAGCATAGCTACCAAAAATCTGATTTGAGATTTTATTAATGAAAACCTTGAAGACTGTAATAGTAACTGGTGGTAGTTATTAGTCAGAATACCTAAAAATTCTGAAGTGCCTTTTGAATTGTCAAATTGGTGAAATTATTCGGTGTACTTTTGGTACTTGCTGTCACTCCCCCTCTTCGTGGAGGAACGACACAGGACCCTGTGCTGTTCTTTTGTCTGCTCGGCCCTTCCCGGGTTTGCTGCTGGTTCTTCCCGGGTTGGCTACCGACCCCTCCACCTCCGTGGAGGGGCGGCTCCCCCGCCACTTTCCCTGCTTCCATGGAGGAGCGGCACACCGCTGGCCGGCTCTCTCGGGGGCTGCTCAGGTGTTCCTTCAGATGTTCCCCCAGATGTTCCTGGTGCATGTTGTCTCTCTCCTCCTTTATAGTCCTCTTCCACCAATCCCAACTCTGCTACCCACACGCCGAGCATGCTGCTCTCCTCCAATCAGGAGCAGGATCAGCTCCTGCAGCTTATCAAACTGATGAGGCAGCTGCGTAGAGGTTGTTTGGTCTCTTTCTCTCAGCACCATATTGTGGGAGAGCAGATGCATAGAATAAGTCTTAATTCCAGTAACTTAGTCTAGTCTCAGTTGCTCCCCATACTTGCTTTGCTTTATCTTAGCTCTTTTTGGTGTCAAGTGCTCCTTTGTTGTAAATGGTGATTCTCCACAAAGCAGGTGTCTCTGTTGGGTCAAGTGCATGGGTTTGCATGTGTGGCCTTTCTCATTGGTGGGCCGTGTGCCCATCAAGGGGCTGCCGCAGGGTCCAGGTGATGACTGGAACCATAAGCCATCAAGGAAGTGCTCAGGTGCGTACATCAATGTGCACAGAGGGTCACGGATCCCAGAGATGTGTCAGGAGTGCTGTGAGTGGCTTTGTGAAACCATGACCCCAAGATGCAAACTCCAGATTTTCTTTGGCATTGGCGGTGTTTCTCTTAACAATGCTGTTTTTAAATCAAACATTATTTGGTAAATATTTTCATGTAACAGGATTTTGAAACCAAGTATGGTACTTACAGGTGTTCCCCACGATGTGCCATCTTGGGTCTCCTCGCCCCACGTGGGGGTTGCTAAAGGTATTTCGGTGTTAACGCTGGCACTGGATCCCCGCTAATCCTGCACCTCAGTTGGGTGCAGGTTCCTTCAGTGTCTGTGGCACTGCAGAGAAGGTGACGGGGAGAGCGGCCGTTGCATGGTGCACGTGGCCTGGGGAGCTCCGCCCGCTGTGCCTGGGCTGTCTCTCCTTCACCCGCGTGAAGCAGTGGCTGCCATCCCCTCGTTCATTACATGTGAGGACGCCGCCATCCAAACACACAGATGCCCCCAGACACACAGACACCCCAAACACAGACACCCCCAAACACACAGACGCCCCCAAGCATACAGACGCCCCCAAACACACAGATGCCCCCAAACACACAGAAACCCCAAACACACAGATGCCTCCAGACACACAGATACCCCAAACACAGACACCCCCAAACACACAGATGCCCCCAAACACACAGATGCCCCAAACACAGACACCCCCAAACACACAGAAACCCCCAAACACACAGACACCCCAAACACAGACACCCCCAAACACACAGATGCCGCCAAACACACAGATGCCCCCAAACACACAGAAACCCCAAACACACAGATGCCCCCAGACACACAGACACCCCAAACACAGACACCCCCAAACACAGACGCCCCCAAACACACACGCCCCCAAACACACAGACGCCGCCACACAGATGCCCCCAAACACATGCCCCCAAACACACAGATGCCCCCAAATACAGACACCCCCAAACACACAGATGCCCCCAAACACATGCCCCCAAACACACAGATGCCCCAAACACAGACACCCCCAAACACACAGATGACCCCAAACACACACCCCCAAACACAGACACCCCCAAACACACAGATGCCCCCAAACACATGCCCCCAAACACACAGATGCCCCCAAACACAGACACCCCCAAATACACAGATGCCCCCAAACACAGACACCCCCAAACACACAGATGCCCCAAACACACACCCCCAAACACACAGACACCCCCAAACACACAGACACCCCCAGACACACAGATGACCCCAGACACACGGCTCTCTGTTGCTGGAGCCCAGATGTGGACACAGATGTGTGCGATTCCACAGCTCGGGCATTTCGCTAGAAGCTGTCCTGTTGTTCTTGTCCATCACATGGATGACCTTATGACAGGAGCACGAGGAGCTGGGTGCAGGAAGAATGAGAGGCTGGGAAGGAATGAGCCTAGGCTATAAATATCTCTATTTTAGCAGTGAAGAAAGGACGATTCTTTACCCCCATCTCCCTGGTATTTCCACGGGGGCTCAGCTGAGGGAGAGACTGTATGTTAAGTTGAACGGTCAGAACCATTTCCTGGAGACGGCGCCTTCAAGGGCGGGATGGGACTGTAAGAGGGCTGACACATGCCGGAGTTAGAAACGTGAGAGAAGTAGAAAGGCAAGCGTGGATGGGAAGGGCGGGGGTGGGTCTCCAGCTCTCCACTTTGGCTGCTGTGTCTGATATGGCACTAGGACAAGCTTGTATTTAAAGAAAGTTTGTTCAAACTGGTCTTTAATTTTGTTTTCTCTGTGGTACTCCCTGAAAATATTCCACATGTGTGTGTTGTCTGTCTTCCCCTCTGGAACATAAGTTGAGGGCTGAGCTGGGTCAGAGCAGCCGCACCGCTGCTTCTTTGCACGGCACCCTCTCTCTCAGAGCCACAGGTCACTCCTTAAGCTGTGTGACTGCCCTGGGCCACCCCCCCATCCCAGCTGAGTCCCGCCTCCCAGGCATCCCTATTGGGTACCAGTCCTGTGAGTGAGGCTGTCTGGAACCATCCAGACCAGCCCGACCTCTAGATGGATGCCATCAGCTGACCTCAGGCAACTTCCCTTAGAATGAAAAGAATCTCCCATCTTCGCCCTGGCCAATTCCTAACCCATAAATCTCTGAGATGAAATAATTCCTCTCTGTGTGAAGCCGCTCAGAGCAGGTGTCGCTTGTCCTGCAGGTAACTGGGATGGAGAGCATCGGTTCCCCTCGGCTTGGGAATGGTTGGAGTCCGGTGAGGTACAGGGCTCTCTGTCACACTGACATTTGGTAATAAAAGTAGCTGATCTTGCATTTGACTTAACTAAGTCGAGGTCACCATCTCCAAGGGAAGGGAGTGGGTTGTACTGAGACCAGGTGTCGGGTGTCGGGATTCAAGGGAAGACTGCGTTGATGATACTTTCTCAGATCTCCCTTTGGGTGTCCAGTATCCCAAGATGGAACTTAAGGTCTCTCTCTGACGGGAAGCTCCCTCCATGCCATGTTCTCCATTTCTCATGGCGTCAGCTCGGGGCGGGGACCCAGCTGTATGCCAGGTGCCTCGGAGCCCTCCCTGATGGATCTTTTTCTCTCACACTCCGTGTGATGCCTCTGCAGATGCAGTGAGCTCCACCATCCGTCTGCTGTGCTGTTCACAGTCACCCTTTCCCGGTTGTTAGCTTCACTCTCTCCTCTCATGAGAGTCCCCTGGGGCCTTTCTCTGCTTTGTTGTATGCAATGAGTGCACAGGTCTCTGCAGACCAGGTACCTGTCTCCTGCATTGTGCAAGTCCATGGGAGTGTAGACACCTACGGTTTGATGGGTAGAAACTATGTGAATCCTTTTTTATGCACGTTTTTCTCTTTTATTGTGATATTGCAACAGTGGGTGAACGCCGGGACGACAGTTTCACATTTGTGCATTTATAGACACAGATATTGACAAGTTCTACATTTCTTTAGGAAACACCTACTTTCTTTTATCTTGCTTTCTGTGTGATAGGGATGGTGCTGAGCTGACTTAACCCAGGGAGTTGCATGGGGCTGGCACTGTGGTGTAGTGGGTGAAGCCACCACCTGCAGTGCCAGCATCCCATTTGGGCACCGGTTCAAGTCTTGGCTGCTCCACTTCCGAGCCATCTCTCTGCTGTGGCTTGGGAAAGCAGTGGAAGATGGCCCGGGTGCTTGGGCCCTTCACCCATGTGGGAGACCAGGAGGAAGCTTCTGGCTCCTGGCATCAGATGGGCCCAGCTCCAGCCATTGTAGCTATTTGGGAGTGAATCAATGGATGGAAGACCTCTCTCTCTCTCTCTCTCTCTCTCTCTCTCTGCCTCTCTGTAACCCTTCCTTTCTAATTAATCAATTAATTAAAAACAAAGGGTTGCATAATTTGGATAAGAGGATCCTGGACACTGGACAGTCTTCATTGCTACCACATTGGACAAATAAAGCTTAGCAAATTACAGCCCATTCCTAGCCTTCCATATTATTCCAAATATGTGAGTACTACTGCTTTAAATTAGCTTATCCTCCTCTGAAAATTAAAAATGCCTACTGCATATAATTAATCAGAGTAAACTATTTTAAGATGCAATTCATTATTATTGAGACTATGATAAATTATTTTTAATAATGGGTAAATGTTGATCTGTGACTACCTTGAGTGTTTGTTTTAGTCTTGTTTTATGTTTGGGCAAGAAAGTCCTCAAGATATACCCCCGGTTTTATTTCCGATGTGTTTTAATGTGGCAGCCTGTGGATTATTATTTTTATTTTTATTCGTGGGGTCCCAGACTGGCCTCACATAGACAGCCCCTGTTAAATCTTACAGTAGCTTATTTATTCTAATCCACAGCTCTAGTGTGCAAGGTGATTGCCATCCCATTTGCACAGGTAAAACGGAGGCACAGAGACATTAAGTGCCTTTCAAAGACCACACAGCCAGAAAGGGGCTGAGTGTGTGAAGCCTGGAGGCCTTTGCCACAGCGGATGCCCCTTCTCCCACATCCCAGAGGCCCACAGCCTGGCTTCCGAAGCCCATCTTTTACGTGAGCTGACAGACTGGACATGAGTGATGGGAATTTCTCTAAACTGTGTTTCCTAGGATAAAAACTAAATATTAGAGCCCACGTCATTTCAAGTGTAATCACAGCCAGCCACATTTAAGGAACAAAATAATGGCAAGCAGCATGTACAGAGTGCTTGCTGTGTGCCTGGTGGCGTGTCCATGAGCGTTTCCCCTTGTGTAATTCTCGCATGCACACCATGAGGAGGGGCGGGCACATGTCTGTCACCCAGAAAACAGCCAATTATTGGCAGAACCAGGCTGCCAGTGGAGACGGTGGCTGCACACGTGTGCGTTCAGCCACTCAGCTGGGCTCCTATCCCGCTCAAAACAACACCAACACACACGTTGGCAACTTTCAGGGAAGCGGGGGTCCCTGGAAGGTCAGCCATCCTTTGTTTTCAATCCAGCCCCCTCCTCTCCAACCCCAGGCAGGTGCCCCTTCCCCACGGGGTGCCTTGCACCTGACCAGTGCTGTGTGTCCAGGAAGCTGAGGTTGGTGCACTGTTAGCCATGGGGAAGTGTCACCAGGCAGCCGTGGACTGGCAGGCTATTCTAGTGCAAATCAGTGCTAACCAGTCTTCTGGTTAGCAAATCTGGTGCTAAGCAGTCTTCGAAGGACCCACTGTGATTTTTGTCCAGCTAGGAATCCTCAGATTTCTGCCTTGGGAAAGGACTCGGAGATTTGCACTTTCTTGATCAATGACTTTTGCTCCTGCTGGAGAAGAAAGAAATGATTTATAAGCCTTCCACCAAAAGTAAGTTGAAGTTTCAGAGGAGCAGTTTCTGGTTCCTCCATCCTCTTGGGTGAAACATTTCTTGAGAGCAGTGTGTCTTCTTCCTCTTGCTCTGTAATCACTCACAGAGCTCACAATGAGATGCATCATGACATTATGGTCATGTGCTTAATGATGCTCTCCTGGGAGCAGAGGGAAGCAGGCTTCCGAAACCTTGCCTTGACTCCTCAGTTGGCTGAATCAGCACCAAGTGCAGTGGAGAAGTCCGGGTGCAAATAAGTGTGGGTTAACGAGAACATTGCCACTTCATGAGAATCAAGGGGAAGGAAGAACTCCTGATTTACAGTGATTCATTCCACAACGAGAGTGGTCAAGTGGACTCCATTTCCTTTATTTATTTATTTATTTTTTTGACAGGCAGAGTGGACAGTGAGAGAGAGAGAGAGACAGAGAGAAAGGTCTTCCTTTGCCGTTGGTTCACCCTCCAATGGCCGCCGCGGCCGGCGCACCGCGCTGATCCGAAAGCAGGAGCCAGGTACTTTTCCTGGTCTCCCATGGGGTGCAGGGCCCAAGCACTTGGGCCATCCTCCACTGCACTCCGGGGCCACAGCAGAGAGCAGGCCTGGAAGAGGGGCAACCGGGACTAGAACCCAGTGTGCTGGCGCCACAAGGTGGAGGATTAGCCTGTTGAGCCGTGGCGCCGGCCTCCATTTCCTTTAGACATTAGAAAAATCTCCCTGAGTGATCTGTGTGTGGTGGTGATCATTGTGGAGTCGGTGCTTGGGCTTGAGACAGGCAGAAAATACCATTCCCTTCTGCGTAAGCGGCCGGGTCGCAGATGAATCACAGATTGGCCTGAGCCTAAATACAAGCCCATCACTGGGCAGCCTTGTGAAGAGTGTAGTAGGAGGGACCCCATTCCATGAGTTAGGAGGGTACCTGGTTTTAAAACTGGAGACAGGATGTGGGAGTCTTATAGAAGTGGACTGGGGCCGATGCTGTGGCATAGTAGGCTAAGCTTCTGCCTGTGGCGCCGACATCCCATATGGGTGCCGGTTTGTGTCCCAGCTGCTCCTCTTGCGATACAGCTCTCTGCTTTTACCTAGGAAAGCAGTGGAAGATGGCCCGAGTGCTTGGGCCCCTGCACCCATGTGAGAGACCAGGAAGAAGCTCCTGGCTTCAGATAGGCCCAGCTGTGGACTTGTGACCATTTGGGGAGTGAACCATCAAACGGAAGACCTTTCTCTCTGTCTCTCCCTCTCTCTGTCTGTAACTCTACCTCTCAAATAAATAAATAAAATCTTAAAGGAAGTGGATTGCAGCAGTCTGAATCTCCATGCTTATGAGACCATCTCTGATGAAAGTATAGTGATAGATACGGTAGACCAAGCGATTGCCAGTGAGAAGCTGCTTACTAGAAGAGAAGAAACAGCACTTTTAAATAATTTTGGCAGATTTCATGTAAATGACAGGTCAAATGTATTTATTTGTAAGGCCTTAGAAAGTATGGTCTTACAGTTGTTTCAGTTGTGTGCAATGGTGTTTTTATTCTCTTGTTGCTGTTATGAGATTTTCTACTTTTGAAAGAAAAATATTATGTCACCAATAAGAAGAGATAGGAAGAGATTAATGGGATAGCAGGTGGTAAATTATCCCTGTGTGTTTGTATCTTGTTGCCTTGCTGAAATATTCCTTTTGGGGGCCGATATTGTCGGCTAAGCCGCCTCCTGTGAAACCGGTATTCCACGTGGGCAAACGGGTTCATGTCCTGGCTGCTCCACCTTTGATCCACTTTCCTGCTAATCCTCCTGGGAAAGCAGAGGAAGATGGCCAAGGTACTGGGCCCCTGGGAGACCCAGGTGAAGTACATGGGCATACTTGTATATGAAGTTCAAGTACGTGGGACACCCGGATGGAACTGCTGGCTCTTGGCTTCTGCTGGGCCCAGCCCTGGCTGTTTTGACTATTTATGGAGTGAACCAGGAGATAAAAAAATCTCTCTCTTTCTCTTTCCTTCTTTCTTTGCCTCTCTCTGTAACTCTACCTTTCAAATCAATCCATTTTTTTTTAAATCAGTAAGTAAAATTTTGATAAATCAGTAAGTAAAATGTTCCCGCTTGTTTACCAGGTTTAGAAGTTAGCACCAAAGACCAAGACCCAGAGCCATGGCCTTGGAGACTGCACTGCAGAAACTATATTACTGTGCAACTTGATAGCAGACAAGTTGGAAACCAGATGCCAGAATGGCTCTTTCAATAAATATCACCTTCAAAAATACTTGGGCAATTCATGTCCATGAAAGGTTATATAATTTTTAAGCAGCTGTGTAAATACGTGCCAAACCCCTGTTGGCCTGCAGTATTTGCCCAGCACATGAAGTCCTCTTGAGGTCACGGCAGAACAGCGGGAAGGCTGCCTTCTTCGCTCCATCGGAATAAGGTGGCCCCAGGTGAATGGTTTCTTTCATGACCAAATTGAAATTTGGGGGGAATTTTAAGAAATACTTTTCATTTCTTTCCTGATTCCAAAACCTTCAATGCTTTTTGTAGAAAAATGTAACCCAATCAAAAAGGAAGGATTAAAAAAAAAATGCTGTCATCCAGCCGTCATAAGTACTGTTAAATTTTGGATGCTAAGACTGGGCAGTTTCCGCTTCATATTGTGTGGGGGGTATACATTTATTTTCATAGATTTATAAAAGTGTCATAGGTCTAGCTTAGCATTAATGTCATATCTTTTCAATTTTTTCATTTTTTAATTTTCATTAATTTGTAGCAGAGTCAGTATGGTTTGTAGATGCAAGTCTGAGAACATGATGATATTCTCCCTCCCTTCCTCCCTCACTCCCCCCTCCCCCACCATCTCCCTCATCCTTCTACCTTTACTGCTTGTCGTCCAGGATGAACCTAGCGGTACTCTAACAGTAGTTGCTGCAGTTTTCCCAAACTCTGTCATTGTTTGTCGGTTACTGAGGATTCGCCTCAGTGCCCTTTCTAAGACAAAGAGAAGGCACATTTGTTTAAGCTTTGGCTTCAGTTATATTTCATTTTTCCTGCTTTGAGTTTCAACAATTCAGATACTTTCTCGTTATTCCATTATTATATGTTTCTTTGCCCGTTCATTCAAGTTTATGGACCACTAGAGAAGCATTTTTCCATGAATTCTTTTATGAGTTTTTTAAAAAAGATTTATTTTGTTCATTTGGAGGGAAGAGTGAACACAGAGTGATCTTCCATCTGTGGGTTAGCATTGCATAGCATTTATGAATTGATCTGGGAGTAATTCGGGAACAATAGATTTATGATAATAATTCTCCCTATAGAGAACATAGTATGTACAGTGTTTATATATTAAGGTCATCTTTTCTGGTTTTGGTAAGACTTTTTCATTTTCTACATGTAGTTTCTGTGCAGTGCAACTTATTCTTGAAGTTTGCATGAGGATACTTTAAATTTTCCATGTCACTAATAATATATATGCAGTTTATTAATTTTGTGAATATTTTAAATAGTTGGCCAACTTAACTATTGATTTG